ATATATAAATTAACAAATTAAAACTAATATAGAAAAGTGAAAGTTATAAAATTATATTTGAATTTTTTTTATAATCTTATAATCTTATATATATATATATAGACTTGGGATCATGTGAGACCAATGGTTTTTCGTGAGACCCGTAAGACCAATTCTTAACCCTTGGATTAGATTTACAATCATCAGATCTGAACATTTATAAACGCCACGAGACTTCTCACTAATTACGAAATTGCCACCTCGCAACTTTGCAACCATTAGATCATTAATTTATAAATTTGATCAATGAACATAAATTGGTCTTACGGGTCTCACGAAAAACTCTTGGTCTCACGTGAACTCAACCCTATATATATATATATATATATATATATATATATATATTAAATTTACATAATAACATACAAATAAAATTACATTTTTTAAATTAAAATATGGCAAATGATGTTTTTATAAGAACCTTCGTTATGGAGTTTATTAAGGTTCTTACCTTGTTAAGATGACAATGATGTGACTGAAAAAAATATGACAACTGAGGATTTTAAAGGTTTCACGACCATAAATGCTCTAAGGCTTGACACTTGGCCTCACGTCATATATTACGTCATTTATTACCTTGATTTTTAATTACTAAAATGTTTTCTAAACATATCTTATCAATTAAATATATTTGCTAAACTATTTCTATAATTATTGTGTTTGTGGGTGAATCACAAAATGTATCCAAATAAATTTGAAAATGTGAATTGGTATAATTATTTCTTTTTTATTTAATTGATTTTTTCTTATTTTTTTTAATACATGAAGATTTATTGTAAAAAATAATATTAATTTCGAAACATAAATATGCTTTCGAGAGATTTGCTTGTTGATTTTCAATTATTATATTTTACCAACCATGGTAAAAGATCGAACATATGATTATTTGGGATTTTAGGTGTTACGTTGATGCCTTTTCTTCTGATTATAGACAAAATAATGTGAGACGTGGTATGATACGACGAGTTTAAACTTTAAATCTTACGAGTTATAGTAATGTTATGACGTTTTTTAAGGCGTACATAAGACGACATATGTGTAGATATGTGTGTGTGTGTGTGTGTGTTAGCGTCTTGGATAATTCCGTAGAACAATTTAAACTCATATAGAATTATAAAATAATAGGAAATAAGGACCATTTGTATCAAATATCGAGTTTATAAGAAAATGATTTAAAAATGCAAAATCGAAATTAAATCTCTTTGAGTCTCTATTCACTACTTTCTTCAATTTTCAAAGAACTTTTGTTGGACTATCCGTGTATGAAAAAATAGAGTAAACATTACCTATTTACCTATTTATGGTTTTAGCTTTTATGTTTTATGTTAATGTTTATTTAGGTGTCGTGCATAATAATCATTTATGCACTAAGGTATACATTTAAAAAAGTAAAAAAAATCATGTTTCTACAAAATAATGTGCCATAATATATAATAACATGTTACAACGAAAGTCAAGTCTTAAAGTGGAACCACATGGGCTAACATCTGACGAAGCCAAGCCTCAATGCCATGACGAGTTATTGTGAACTATATATGATCATTGATAACCGGTCATGGTTAAGAGCATCCAAAATGGTGTATGCTAATAGGTTTTCGAAAATGCAAAACCTTGACATTAGTTTTTCACTATAATGGGAGGTTTCAGTTGGAGATTTTTAGGCTATTTTTCAAAGATTTTTCATATTCTTCACTTTTAATAATGTCTATACGTTTGAGTGATCACCAATCTTATACTAATTTAAATAATTATTACAAAACAACAGTAAAAAACATTGATATAAAAAATTAATAAAAGAATAAAACATTACAAGATGATTGTGTCAATCTTTACAAGATGATGTATTTGGAGAAAGCTTGATTTATCATCGTGTCAATTTTTACAAGATGATAATATTGGTTATAAAGATGAAGTCCAAATGTTTACCGA